TTCAAATCTTATCACTTTTTTCCTTTCATTATCTTTCTTATTATTGAATTCCTTTATGTCATATTTATCCTTTCCTCACTTCCAGTTTTCCTATATAATGCCTTAACAAGTGAATGTGTGATCAGATTATTCGAAATGTATAGTGCTAAAACATCACATTTTTCAGATAATCTACGTCTTCTAATTACATTATCCAAATTCATAAAAGGAGCTAATTGTTTCGAATTCTTGAAAAGGAGTATGTTTATTTCAATGGAGTCCCATTCCCAAAATACATCTATAGTATCTTTTTGAGTCTTCGAGTTGCATCAACCTCTCAATATCTTCTATTTGCTTTCTCCCGTTTAGTATATTTATCCAAAGAAAATGCAAATGTCCTTCCATTTCTTACAAACTATTTTCTGTTAGTCATCAACACTTATCATTTCTTATTTTGAGCAGTCTGAAAACAGTCCCATTGGTTAAACATTTATTAGCCCCAGTAGGCCCTTTGCCTTATGTCAAATTATATGTTATTCAGAAAATGAAAACAGAACTCATGTGCTTACTGAAGTGATCACAGTCACAACATGTGATCAACTAAATGTATGGCAGTTTAGTCTATCAATGGCCTAGAATTCTCTGTCACCGTTAAAAGTGGACGCGAATACTTGAATTTGGTAACACTACTTCGTAAAGCTATCAGATGTATTGGATATTGAACTGTAGTTGCCTTCCAAGTTGATCATACAGAATCCAATTCTCAATTTGACTTAATACTGTTTTCGAATGAGCAATTTGCGTTAGAATCCTATTTCGGCTGCCACTTATGAAGACAGCCAGTCATCTTTAAGCTTGTTTCCGGGATTCTTATGGTATATTTAACATTGACCTTATAATTTAATGGTCTTGATGTAGGATATTCTATTTTCTCCTCGCTGGCTTCCTACTTGTTATTTTGTTGCCAATACAACATCACATTATATAATTAGCGTCACCTCCTGTTTCCAAACTAGCTGATGTGGTTGAAACGGTAGTGTTGGGATGATAGAATAACTACAGTACTTTGGGAACTTTACATAAAAATGGACACAACAGCTTGACCAATCCTAAGTGAATTCATGTTCTCGCTTATCGAATAAACTAACCATTTAGACCTATTCTTCACCTGATCAAAATGTGATAACAGCAATCTGTAGTCCACCAGTTGCCAAGCAGATAATAAACCTATTTCTTTTGTGCTCACTTTCCTCAGTTATATTTGCTTTTTGTAAGTCAGTGGTCATCAGTATCGAATATGCGCCTAACTCCACCACACTTGAACACATTCTTGAGTAAATATCTCTTGGATGTTGCTAGCTTTTCACTTCAAATTTCCTATCATATTATGCATGTAACATTACTGAAAAATTCTCTAAGACATTTGCATAACCATTATAGCTGGTTTTGTCGATTTCTAGTACATATTAGTTAACACAACTAATTACAAACTTTCGAATCTCATAGGGTTCATCTTTTGCTTCTCGTATCATTGTGCTACTTTATGTCGATATTCTCACGATACAACTCGTACTCCATTTGTCGTCAGACCAACTTCCTAACTATTCGTGTTTCCGCCAACTCACCGAAAATAAATGTTATACACCTACCAGTTCACTTGTTCGCGCTACATCTTCTGTAATGAAAGCTTGCCGAGAATAGGTACTCAAGAGCATTTTCTAGCTTGGTTTAGTAAGAGCAAGGCGCGGCAGCAATATTACAGTTGAACATTTACTTAGTTTCAAGTGTTCAAATGACCAAAGCAATAAGCTTAGTGTGACTTTTCAGACCACCGTAGCAACCACTGAAGTAGCCAATCACGTTTTGCATAGAACAAATAAACCATGTTGGCCCCTCCAGTATTTGTTCAAGTGGACCTTAACATCACTTATAAGCTTAAAATTTTCTCATCGATTTAGTTTTTAACTTCTTGAAGTGCAAACGCCTTGCAGTTTACATCATCTAAAGTCTATGCTTGTAGTAAAAAATCGCAGTCATTATCTTTACATTGCTCGCAATATCATTTTTTTTTGCGACACATTCCTTTGCCGATTTAGTTTACATCACTGTAAACCATGTGTTATCTAACTTAATCATCCTAATAAGCGAAACCTCCGTTAGAAGCATATTCTTTTTTTCATCCAATTTGTCTCATTCACAGTATCTAATGAGTTATTGGTTTATTACTTCTACCATTTTAGAAGCTTTAACAATCTAAAAGCGATTCCAGATCCTATACAGCCCCCTTTCACGTTTTCTCCTAACAATATAACTATGGGCAGTAAAATCATTATTAGGTATCAATTAAGTTCCCCATGGATTATGGAATATGCAGTATTCAGCTTCAAAAAAATTTATTGGATTTTGCGAGTTTTATGCAAAAATGCAAACTATTAAGCCAAGTGAATCCAATCATACAACTTTCAAACTCATGAAAATTACTCAAAAAATTTCAGTACCCGATTGACCAGACCATTTATGATATTACACATGTATATGCAAGTAAATTACTTGTTGCTAGTAAAAATATGATGGGATATAGGAGTCATTTCCAGACATTTTTGAAAGACTTAACAAAAATGGAATAGTGATTAGTTAGATCTAATTTAAGGAATTAATACCGCTTCCCAAAACTTATCAATTCTTATTCACATTCTTGTTGCTATTTAGCAGCCAATAACCGAGTGTTTATATGAATGTAAACATTCTTCCTACTTGATAACAGTTGTTACACCATATAAGAAAGTGGGAAAATCCTTACATGAAAAGATGCCGGTTTCATCAAACAGTAAGACTTTTATGATGTACACTCAAGAATATTTTATAGGCGTATTAACCCTTCTTTTCAAATCGATTGTATCTGAATCATTGTCACTACAGTACATTAAGTAGAGAGCTATCAGACATTCTAGAAATACATTACGATAACATTTTCATAGATCATGAACTTTCACCAAAGTTTTATTGGCTAAACAAAATAACTGCATTACTCGTGAGATACATTACTTCGAGTCAATTTCACAGTATACTTCTGGTGTCGATTACATCATAAGTATAAATGATGTATTATTCAGAATTTAAAAATGTTTCGTTTTCATCTTAACGATTGAGTCTGTACAAACCAAGAAGTGTATTAGAAGCAAGTACAGTTGACTCATTAGTTCCGATGTGATCAACTCCATTGTGCTCCAGTTTCATTTCCCAGTAAGTGATATGAAGTAGATTTGAAACGGGATTTAATAACTGGACGTATTACATATACTGAAATTGTAACTACAGTCAACATACAAGGTTTATTGTACAAATTTATCAGTTTACGCTTCATTAATAATTCATGGCACTTTAACAAGACAGTCACCAGAATAACTAGTGAGACATCCTATACTGTAGCTTACTTGATGACTAGCGGCGGAATCCAGGACGCATATTTCGTCCCACTTAGGACTCGTCAGCTGGATGTACCTGCACCCGAGTGAGCGACGTTGTTCTCGCTGAGACTTAATCCCAGCAATCAACGCTGCAAACGCCAAAACATTATTCACTAGGCCACCAAGTTACGATATCTACCAATTGTACAGCGGGTATAAGCTGTTGTTTATTAGTAATTGTAATGGTGGAATATCTAGTTGTGTAAACAGGTATGTATATACGCCATTGAGACAAAGCCGAAAGTCATGTTCCTTGTCTATTTTTATCAGGATTGCATTAACTGAACAACTGCAGGGATAAAGACGATTCATCTTTTTGACTTTCATAATTATGACATCAAAAGACCCAGACTTTAGATCATATGTTATCGAAATATTTAGTACCTGCTTGGTAAACTCAAATCGGCTGGAAAAATACAAAAGCTTTTACACAACACTTAGAATTTACATCGTAACTTCTTAATTTGCGGAATATTAGAAGTGAACTACAAGAATTCGCTCAAAAATCTCCAGGTAATCCAAGCTTACATCACCTTTGGTACTTAAGCTCAGGATTGAGTTCTGAAACCTTCAGAACATTCGTTTGCTCCTTACAATTTTAACATTTTTCACTTAATGTCACCCTGAACAATGTTATTCTGACCAAAAATGAAACCATGTTTAGAGGAATAAAGTAAATGAATTACTCACCAGATGACAACGTGAAGTTTTAGCGTTTATCCGATTTCATCAGTCACTGCTAAAAATGACACAAACCCAAGTATAGAATTTACCCATTAGATGATGACCACTTCTTTCTGAAGTGACGTAAATATGCATATCTATCAATACTAGCATGACAGTAATCAGAACGCCTACTGGCTTTCTCTAATAGAAAAGAAACCTCAAGATTAATTACTGAAGCACAGTACTAATTAAGTGTATACAGAGACTAGTTAAAATAAGACAGGGATTTACTACTTGTCAGATAGCTATCGTAACTTTTTGTCATGGTATATCCATCCTTCCTTTTCACAAACAGTGGCTACAGCGATATTCATGAATTTGATTTAAAAGACACAAAAAAGTGAAATTATTGAACATGACTAAAATAAATTTAAACCATGATTAGATAAACAAATGGAATCAGAGTGCTTTTTAAGAAAAACCCATAATCAGTGAAGAGGAATGACAGCAATTTAGTGTTTTCTAATTGAATAACAACGTGGGGTATAATTCCTTAAAATCGAACTATGCAAAAAATTTTTCGCATAAATCACATATGTAAATATGTTTATATGAGTAGTATAAGTATGTAGAGAAAATATTTCGATTGCACAAGATGAAAAAATGTCACCAAATCTTTCACAAAGAGTTATTCATTAAATAGAGTAGATTTTATGATGAATTTTATCATCTACATCATCTAAAGTATACAGTTTTCTGGCAGATAACACTGAATGAAATCATCTGCATACTTTTGTTTGAATTATGTGGTACGTAGCAAGCAGAGAGAAATGTACAATGTGCAATGACAACAAAAGTAAACATTTTCTTACAACACAGATATACGCTTTATCTGTCTCCATCAGTCTGTCTTGATGCATTTAAGTCTCCTCTTTTAAGATAATTATTCGTTTGATGACGATTAGCTATGGCCAAATTTCGTTTTGGACCTAGATGGAAGAAAATAACCATAAATGAGTAGAGAGGAAATGATCAAATAAATATTAATATTTTTAGACAGCTTAAAAAATTGGATAAAAACATCATTTAAAAACCATCGTTCACAATTTTCTGTGCTTCTAATCTGATAAGATAGAGACAATTACTATGTCAGAGAATCATATTTACGCTTTGGTAAAGGTAAGTCTGATATATGCAGAGAGAAAGTAGAAATATCCTGGTAAAGGGCATAAACACCCGATAGAGAGGGGACTCTACTCATAATTGATCAGATGATGATATTTAACAGAACTTTGTTATGAAGTAAAAACGCATTTGCAGTATTTTTTTGTTATCGACACATTTAAGGTTTCGAGAACATCGAATTTACAAATCTGAACCATGAACCTATATATAATGGTAATGAAACCATTTTATTATGCATTTCTACCAAGCGATTCCCATTGTTTATTGAAGCTCCTATACTTCTACACTGAAAATATATTGAAAAGAAGCATAATTTGGGTAGTAAGTAAGAGGTAATCAATTTCATTTTGTCTAATCCTGATTGGCGATCAATTCTGCAGTGTAGCTATCACCAAGATAGTAGACTCGATATAACTGTGTTTTGAGTTAAGTTTTTGGAGGTAGTCGATCGGTTTTGCGCGCTCGTCAAGCAAGGCACATTTATAATAATATATGTGTAAAACTTGGGCACTGTGGTATAATTTAACTCCATATTACATTTGTTGGTAATAAAAATAATAATAATAAACAAATCTAATATGGAAGGCATATTTATAACTTCAACCAGTCTGATACTTCATAAAGGATTCTGATCGAATTCAGATCGTAATTGATTGCATATATGACTAAACGGACAATAAAAAGTAGCGAGTAATATGTTATATATTCCGACATGTTGGCTGAATTTCTTAAATAATCAGTCAGTCAGCAAAAATATCATACCACGTAACGGTCCAAGTTGTCACATTTCATATCACCACATCAAGCGGGAAGGCTTCAAGACGAAAGACAGAAAAATGAAGAAAGTAGTCAAAATTGGTGGAAAAAATCGTAAAACAAGAATAAGAAAGAATGAAACAATAGAATTCGATAGGACGGTTAACATGAAGATAACATACAAGTGCATCCTACGCTACTGATATCATTTCTGATGCATATCGCTAACACCCTTCGACCACTGATTTCCAGTGTCCCGTAGAACTCAGTTAAGAAGTGCATATTTCTCTACATAGATTGTATTGCGTGAAGTTATGTCTCAGTCAACCCATGAAGTTTCTAATCAAAATTGAAATAAGGATTCTTATGGTACTGTTAGACGAAAACCGCTAGTTCCTAAATTGTGTCATTTTTAGTGAAAACTGAAGTGTTTACTTTCCGAGCCAATAAGATTCCAGCAAGCTACAATGGTTAGCATATTAAATTATAAGAAAATGAAGTATCACTGAGAATAAGAAGGTAAAGCTTAAGCAGGACGGTAACGAATTAATCAGCCTTCTTTGGTTCATACATTTCCAGTCATAGCACCATTCGGAAGACGTAACTTTTAACCTGTGAGTAATACAACGTTTAATTTGTTGGTTGTTAAGGCTAATTAAGTTTAGTTAGGCTGACTAATAGAATGTGCTTAAACAATAAGTAATGTTACTCAATTCAGTATATATGTTTATACAGTAGGCTATAAGGCATACTTGTGTTGTGTGAGCATCTATCATGCCATCCGATTGCCTAGATCAAAGTTTAAACAACAGAAAGTAGACAAGATACAAAATAGGTTCCCATTAAAGTTATAACATATCTTCAACCATACGGAAACTCATATTGTCCCACATGTCTAAACTGGTGTCATCTACTATCATCGTAATTATTGCTGTTATCACGAAATTATTTAAATCCTGAGTGATCTCTATTGTGGAAACGGGATTGCGTAAACTGCTTAGTCATTGTACACTGACGATTATCATGTTCCACAACAGAATGCCAATCGTAATCCATTAATAAATCTATATGACTCCACAATATATTATCGTGAAAAGAGCTGAAGGCGGTGAGTAGATAGCTATCAATTCAACCCTTGTTCATTTTTATGTTGGTTAGTAAGACGTGTCTACAATCCTGAAGAACGTTTGTTACACATGAGAATCTAAACTCTATCAGACAGCACCAGTGAGAGATACGCCAAAGTTACACACTTGATAATCCCGACAGATGTAATATGGGGCCTCCATGACTAGTCATCGATTGCTTCAGGATTTCATACAATCTGGAGTAACAGTATATATATATATATATACGCTTTCTTGGTCTAGATTTTTCAGGCAACCAGAATCAATGATTGGTAACTTTGCAGAGGCATCCACGTCTTATCTTTCATTGAATACTGAACATCTTACTACATAAACCTACTTAAACCTGATGTAAACTTCCTTTTTAACTCTTCGTATACAAATTTTTTTACTGTCATGAATATCATTTTTTATTTATCTGTTGCTACATTCGACTATTTCGCTTTACTGCAGCGTTTGCGTAATATGGAGTGGAATGAAAACACATACAACTGGGTAATACCATCGCCCCCACCCCACTACTATTTAGACATATGCATAATCTTGAGGGAGTTGTGAAGATTTGGAAATATTTCAAGTTGTTATTCATCGTAGACTGACATCAGTTAGAGGAACAAAGGAAACCTGGGAAGTTGGAAATATGGAGCATTGGATTCTGACCCAGTGGCTCAATGGTAACGTGCTGGCCGCGGAGCCTGAAGGTCGCGGGTTCGATCCCTGCTGGTGTGGGGTCGTGAGTGCGCACTGCTGAGGAGTCCCATACTAGGACGAAACAGCTGTCCAGTGCTCCCAGGTTTCCTTTGTTCCTCCAACTGATGTCAGTCTACAATGAATAACAACTTGAAATATGCATAATCAACAACTAATTAGAAGATTCAATTCCCTAGAAATCTCATATACATCTTGCTAGTACTAATAAATGAATGACAAAATACATGACGCCCAAGCATAGAACATCATAATAACCGTAAGTGATTAGTCGAAATACTGAAGAGTTGATGTGGAAATTTAAAAAAAACTTCCAAAGAGGTCAATAATAAATTAGTATACATGAACCAATTGCAAGATCACGTGGAAGTAACAAAGATTATACAATCAAGTTATGAATAAGTCAGCTATCATTCGAGTATACTGAATAATTCACTTAACTATGAAAAAGAGAGAGAAGGCGTTTCGTATATAGCTAGTCCAGGCATCAGTAAATAGTCTATTTAAACAGCGTAATGAGAAGATGAAGATTATCTGAAATATGTGATGTTATTAACGCCTATACATTTCGAACAATCTGATCACACATGGATTTGTCGAACTATTTTTATATGAAAATTTACGAAAAGGGTCAAGCGCTAAACATATACTAGAAACTAACCATAGGATAGGCATGAAAACAGCCTTTAAAGTACTATATAAAAGTGGTCAGTGCTTAAATACATTGAAGCTCTTACCAGTCGTAAATTCAAATCCCTCCTTTATGTATACAAAAACAATTTGTAATCATGTTAAACCTACCTTGGTAGTATTGATTTGAGTTTTCATATCAAGAGTAATGTGTTTTTCCGTTTTCTTTTACTCTCCTTTCCTATTTCTATGTTTCCTTTTAACTTCATTGACCTTTTTCATAAATTTTCACATAAATATTTCGACAAGTAAATGTATGATCAGACTATTCGAAATGTATAGGCGCTAATAACATCATATATTTCAGATAATCTTCATTCACTGCTAGCCACTGTCCATCATTACTAAATCTTCATTATAATGTTTAAATTTATTAAAGAGACTAGTTGCTTTAAATTTTTAAAATAGTCTATTGTTTACATTTACTATTTGTTATCACGTTTCTTCACATTATTGTTGTTATGAAAATATGTATTTATTATTATTAAGTGCGTTAGATACTAAGCAAATGGACAAGAATAAACAGTAATAAATATTTCTGAGATTACACCATGTTTATGCATGATTGATTTTATATACTGTTTCTCCTTCTTTCTTTAACACAGTATTCTTAGAGTTAGAAGATTGATACTCTTGTGCTTAGAAGTCCAATGAAACATTTTGTGTTCTTGTATGATAGAGCTTTCTGACTGTAAAACTATTTCGTCTATACACAATACAAACTACAACGAATTGTACATAAAAATGGTGCTTTGATTTTCACTTATGAACATTGTAAAATCAAACTATGTGACTTAATCAGAGTCAGCTAAGCAATACAAGTTTGGAACAACTAAACCCTATGAATGCATAGCAATTATAATGTCAAGCATTGAAAAATTCAGCAACTAAGAGAACTCATTATCATCTAGTTTTTCAAACAATCTTCATCATGAACAGATACAAGTGAAGTAGTCAAGAATAGTTATGCAATGATAAACACAGGTTCCCCTTCAGTTCAGCAGTCACCATACCAGCATGTTTCTTCACTCACTTCACACACACACATATACTCGTAACTCGGTTAAAAAACATCATTATCATTGGAGAATAGTTGCATAATTTCACAAATGAATGAAAGTAGAATGATAAAAGTGATCAGCTGAAGTCTAATGCCGTAGTACAATTAACAAAGTATAACCCGTAAGACTTCAATTTTTTAAATTTACCCCCCCGCTCAGTAGAGAATACTCATTGATGAGTTCCAAAATGGGACAAAGTAGTTGCTTTTATCATTTGATACTTGTAATTTCCTGTTGATATACAGGGTAAAATTTCTCGACCTCTACTAGCAGATGGATTCCAATCCGAATGCCTCTATACTGTCGGATGTTCATGATATTGTATTCATCTTGGTGATTTGCAATGGAATCCAGCTCGCATGTTTCATCCTATTTAGGACTCATCAGCGGGGATATACCTCCACCCCCATAAGTGTTGTTCCCATTGAGATTAGTGAATAACGCTTTGGCGTTTGAAGCGATATCTATTGGATTTGAGTCTTAGTGGGAACAACATCACTCACTGGGATGCAAGTACATCCAGTTAACAAGTTCTAAATAAGACAAAATGCATGTTCTGGATTCCATGCACTATGAGTCACCAACAGGAATACAAAATAGTTGCTTACTGCAGACTTCCCTTCACACCATTTTTTTGATCGAAAATATTGAATCTTTTAACTTTTATTAGCCAAGAGAGGCTATTGATAAAAATTTTGTAAAACCCTAAATAAAACTTACCAAAATAACTAAGATAAACAGGTAAAATAATTAGCCCAGTTAAAGCACCAAACAATATCATGCATAAATACATTCGAAAGTAGAAAATTTGAAACAGACGCGATTTAGATGCAGCCAAGACGACTATACCGCCTAGTTTAGTTAGTGTAATACCACGAAGAATCTAGATTGTCAAAAGTAAAAATAAATACAAGGGGAAATTATTTAATACTAGATAATCAATAAATTACTTTAATATACAGACAAAAGAATAAGTAGGATACCTAGGATACCATTCACAGGAAGGGCGACCAATGTACCAGATGGGTGATCTGGAGCATGATTAAATTCTAACCAATTACCTTTCTATTTGGGCTACAGTTTTATTTAAGAAACCTATGTTCATCATGAAATCTGACGGCCATGGCACGGTCTGATTGCCCACTACTCAAGAGTCCGATATTAGAACAAAACAACTGCACAATGCTCCCAGGTTATCCAAATGGTCCCAGTCCATGATGAATACCTTCTTCAAATCAATCAGTTCCCGAAAATCTCCGAAATGAGCAAAAGAAACAGGTTGTACTCTGTTACAATAACTGTTCAGTCAGACAGATGCATCTGTCTATAGCTGAAGCACTAGCCATCCAGAAGTTCAAACCAGCGTCATGTGTGCAAAAAAGGTACGTCCAACTTTTATGTTTGCCATGGCCATCATAAAGCCCTGTCTGCCACAGATTCATTTTGTATCAGGTAACTACACCTGTATACCTCATTCATTCTTCTACTCTGTCACAGATTTAACCTGTATTACGTAATCATAATCCTATTTCCATGATTCCTTGTTTATTCTCATACTCTGTCATAAGTTTACCCGGTATTACATAGACGCAATTTTATCTTCATAAACCTTCGTTCAGTTTCCTACTTTGCCAAACATCCATCCTGTATTACGTAATTACATTTAATTTTATAATCCCCTGTCTATTTTCCCACTCTAAAAACAAATGTGCATTATCTTTCCCTTAGGTTCCTAGTGGAACATAGAGCTTCAGAAGCACGTCTCAATTCCACTCTGTTCTCTGCAGTCTTTTCAACCTGGCGCCACGACTACCCACAAGCTTTCATTTCTTTCCCACACGATCTCCTCTATGTCACCCTCGGACGCCCAACTCATCGTTCCCCCTTTGGATTCCACTCGAGGGTCTGGTCTGGCGCGTGATGTCCCCCAGTCGGCCTTCTCAACGTATGCCCGATACATCTCCACTTTCTCCCACTGCATGTTTGTTGGATGATAGGTTCTTGGTTGGTTCGTTGCCCGGCCAGAGTTCCTTGTTGCTTATTCTATTCTGGCCATTTGACCTTCAGTATCGAGTGGGTGTAGGCGAGAGCTGTTGATAAATGCCTGTAGTTTGTAGGAAGTGCTTTTCGTGAACCATATAGCAGCACTGACTTGACGTTGGTGTTTAAAATCTGGATCTTGTTCTTTGTGCTGAGTGTAGTGCAGTACAGTAGATCTCCACACTGATTTCAGATTAATGAAAGCCTGTCCTGTTTTTCCCATCCTGGTTTTGACATTCTTGTCTGTGCCGTCTGCAGTTGAAACGATGCTGCCTTGCCTAGGTAGGTGAAAGAGACTACTTCCTTTAGGTTTCTCCCGCTAATGGTGGTTGGTGCTTGTCGTTGATGCTGTTGTTGGTTGGGTATCTTCATCACATCACATAAATTTAAAGATCCTAGACTAAACAAAGGTGTCTAATCTAAACAAACAGTTGTTCAATAACACAAGCCTACAAAATAAAAAATGGTTTTTTCAAAGTTTACATTTTCCTAATAAGAGAGATAATCAAACGATAGGCTGTCAAAACTTTAACGACGAATATCAAGTTAACACGTATTAAACTGCTATGCATTTTAGTGACCTGATTGCTAATTTGATTTGTTTTCATATAAGGAAATATATTTGTCTACTTATACACGTGATTTAGGTGACAACAACCTGACAACTGAAACTGTACGTGTGACATCACATGAAAACAGTGTAGAGAAACAGTAGGTTAGGAAGACAATATCACTGCCTTGAACCTAACCAAAAGTTAGAAAACAACGAATGGTGTGGAAGCCGCTGGAAAGGTATACATACTGCATTTTCATGCCACTGAAGTCTGTTTCAAAATGATTTCACTCAATGAATGACGATCTCACATAAGGTAAGATACATACCACCGCACCTCAGACCACCACTACCTGAGACAGCAGTGACTGAGCCTACACGATCTTCCAAAAGTACTCTGGATTTTAATGGTAGAAAGTATGTACCATACTTATGGACACTAATAACCAACTGATTAAATACGATATAACTTTCTTGTAAATCAACATACAGTTAAACGAAACCGTTTGCATACCAGTAATCGAATAACTTTTTTCTCAGTAACACTATCTCTTCTTCGAGTGATATTTCAAGAAACCTATTGATGTACACCGCTAACAGTGTATTACTTCGAGATTACAAGATAAAGAAACTATAAGTGACCTTCAACTAGAAATTTTAAAAAAAACAATGAGTTGTATGATTTATGGAATAATATCCAAAACCTCTCGATGAACCAACTGATGCGAACCTTAAAGAGCCATGCTTCGTCAAACTCATAGTTAAAAACAAAACTATTACAAAATGAGTTAAAGACTTTTAACACATTTCTGCCTTTAATTATGAATTACTGTAGTCGACATGAAATTCATTTCCTTGTAGGTGTTTTCTATAATATGTAAACAAGGCGACCGATAGCTGCCACTTTGACGTGGTGGTTGGGTTTGCATACTGCAATGACCCAAAGAGATACACTGACTGAAACGTTTGTTCCCTCAACGTCTTTTCATGCTAGAGAAGTCTGTTGGATAGTGGTAAGACAAAAAGCAGTTACTGTTATGGTGAAAATTGCTACTCTGTGATGGGGTCCGACGAAGAATTCCTACTGCTAACTGGGAGGGGTGTGACAGAAGTAAGGTGTTCTCCGCTGATGACCAGCAGCACTATCCTGATGCTGCCTACCAAGTGGAAAGTAGTAAACTCGCCTTGCCCTGAGGTATTCTAATGCCGGTGGTATTGTTTTTCCATGCCTAGCGCTAACACAATCAAATCTCAACCCAACGATGTAAAAAAAAATGTATGAATGGCCCCAAGTAGATGTCCGATGAGCTATGTGGTCACGCAAAATTAAACTCATTTATTTGTCAGAGACGTCACGAAAACAACTTCCACAGTGTGCGCAGCCAGTAGGTAATAATCATCTGCACGCTTTCAATAGTATGCAAAAGTCAACAAACCATAGCCTACCTACTTTATCATTGACCCCTCCCTTCCCCTTCTAATACTTATATTAAACCTCTTAAAGAGTCCAAAACCACTCAACCTAAGATCATTGCTAATGATCCATTTCAACAAAACACCATTCCTAGTCTCTTAAATTCATACTGCCGATTTCACATTAGGGCTTTTCAACATTCGCGCCTATGCCTAATTGGATAATTGAAGTCCCTTTCTGTATGCTGTGTTTCTGATACACCCACACAAAACCAGAGTGTGGTTATTCACTTGGTCAATGTGGTGAATTTGCGAAATTCACTTTACAAGTGTTCGTGGATCCCATGACTAGTTCCCAAGACCTCGATGGTATAGGTATAGCATCAATTTGTAGAACGGAAAACACATAGCCATTAATGTGCAATCCACTTAAATTGATCTGTAGGAATTGAGTAGAATCTTGACACCCATCGATACTCATTCTTAAATCTCCGCCTATGTAACTACTCGCAGCGGCTTTGATGAAAAAAGGATGAGTTATATAAAAGCGTAAGTAAGAGAGACCAGACATTATATCAAATAACCAGGTTAATTACTGTCTGGGAAGAGATCAACGCAGACGAAACCAATGAAAGATAGTGAAGGAAACTTAGTCACCAAAGAGGAAAAACAAGGCAAACGATGGGCTGACCACTTCAAAAACTCTTGAATCGACCACCACCGCCACCTGCAACTCGTCCAGAAATGCCCCCAGCAACGGCAGAACTACCAGTGAACACAAGCCTTCTGACAAAAACAGAAGTCCTGAATGCCATAAAATTGCTGGAATTCGGGAAAGCAGTAGGACCAGATGGAATTCGACCAGAAGCACTGAAAACAGATTCAGAGACAACAGCGGACATGCTCACACCACTTCTATTTCTGAAGGCTTGGAAGGAAAGGTACCTGAGGATTGATTGGAAGGAGGGTTACTTTGCCAAACTCCTCAAGAAGGGAGACGTAAGCCTTTACAAGAATTGGCAAGGAATCATGCTGCTGTCCACCCGAAGCAAAATACCAAGCCGCGTCATCCTGGAGAGCCTAAAAGATGTTCTGGATTCAAAATTACGGCCGGAACAGACTGGCTGGCTGGCTGGCTTCAGGAAGAATAAATCATATGCAGATCGAATTTCAACGCTATGCATCATCATAGAACAGAGCATAGAATGGCAGTCAACTCTACCTCAACTTCATCGGCTTTGAAAAGGCCTTCGATAGTGTCGACTGAGAATTAATTTGACACATGATTCATTAATCAGTGTGGAGATCTACAGCACTCAGCACAAAGAACAAGACTTGGATTTTCAATGTCAGTGAAGTCAGTGCTTCTATGTGATAGTTCATAGACTTGGCGCGTTACAAAAAGCATTTCCAACAAACTGCACACATACATCATGAACAGCTGCCGCCTACGCTCACTCCATACTGAAGATGGAGATCAGATGACCTGAATAATAAGAATAAGCAACAAGGAACTCTTGTTGACTGGCAAGCAACGAAGCAACCAAGACCAATCGCCCAACAAATATGCAGAAGGAAGTGGAGATGAGTTGGATTGGACAAACACTGAGAAAACTGTTTGGGGACATCACGCGCCAGGCCCTCAAGTGGAACCCGAATGGGAAAGGATGAGTTGGGCGTCTGAGGGTGACATGGAGGAGATTGTGTGAGGAAGAAATGAAAGCTTGTGAGCAGTCATGGTGCCAGCTTTAAAAGACTGCAGAGAATAGAGTGAAATAGCGAGGTGCTACTGAAGCCCTATGTTCCACTAGGAACCTAAGGGACTAATAATAATAATAATAATAATAATAACATCAAAAGCTGTCACTTGTGTTAAAATTTGTGGTCAGCACTAATTTCAAGCACTATTTACGTCCACCGACATCAAACCAAAGGCTGACACATAGATCAGACTGCTAAAAGCCATCGTTGAAGAGGATCAATCAAGAACAACCCTTACAACGTACCTATTTGAACTAATCATGTCTCAATTCAGATGCACACGTACATTTACACATGAAGCACACAGCAGAGAGGCCTATGTATGCTCGACTGGAAAATGAGAACATCAAGCGTGTAATCACAGAGATAGCTAAGCATTTATCTGAATATGATGAAACCAGGTGCAATATTCAGCCTGCCTTAGAATCAACGGAAAAGATAATTGGTAACCTATATCCTGAGGTTACCAAACGTCAATGGATTTCCCCCACGTAATCCGAAATGCTTGATGCGACAAGACTCATTTTATTTGGTTCCGACGATAATGAGGATCGGAAGTGGTTGAAAAGTAAACTAACTACGAGTCTTTGCAATAACTGCGAGCAGCGATGGGTAACAAAAACGAAAGAGCTGGAGAAGGCATCAGTATTAGAAAATACTCAACAGTTACATCGCTTTGTTAAAGATAGTGACAAAAAGATTGTGGTTAGTAAGGTCATCACCGAAAAGGATGAGACCTACATAACATCTCGTGACAGGCAGATAAGACGTTGAACGAAACACTTAAGGTTCAGTTCAACTGGCCTAGCATCCAGCCCAAAACGGAGTTGGACACAGATGTTGGTCCTCCAACTCTCCTCGAAGTTGAGAAGACTGTTTCAAACCTGAAAAGATCTGACCCCTTGCCACGGAAAGTATCTACAGAAAGAGGTAGAAAATTACTGAGTAGAGTAACTGAGGTACTTGATCTACATTGCTGATCATTACAGCTTACAAGAAAGAAAAGTTTTCTTGTGACAGCTATAGGTGGATCAGTTTAACTAACATCATGACGTCTGGAACTCGAAAACAATAAACGTGAGGAAACCAGACAAATATGAGAACTAAATGAGGCTGAATCGATCAGATCATTACCCTTCGACAAATCCTGGTAAACAGGCATACTTATTGGTGGTCAACAATTGTCATATTTTTGGCCCGACGGTGGCATTTGACTCTGTCAACGGAGATGTATTGTGGCAATGTCCGACTGTAAAGGAAGTATCGAGCAATTATGGACTGCTAGTCAAAGTTATCTACTCGAACTCACACAGTTATTGTAGGGGATTAGGAAGAGTTTTAATCCAAAATGACAACAACTACGTGTCCAGAGGGGATGTCCACTGTTGCTATTTCTGTTTAACTTCATTGTAGACCCATTACTTGGTATAACCTAAGATAACAGTAACTTTAAGAGATTGATTTATTGCCTAAAGGACTCATGGCTAACTAGGAGTAGGTGGATGACATTTTCCTGTTCGGCGAAGATGTTGTTGACCACTTCACTTACTTGGAGAGTTGTACCAGATCGAACTGGCTGGGTACTGATGAAATCTCAGCCTAAATACAGAGGGCTCGTTTGGTATTTGCAAACTTCCACATTCTCTGGCATTTGTAAGACATTCGACTACCCGTCAAACGACCAGTTGGATCTGCCCCATTAGACGACTGTTAGAAATGACCATTGAAGGTAAAGGACGTGAACAGATTAGAGGTTTTCAAACGCAAGTGTCTTTATACCATTGTTCACATAAGGTGGAATCAATGTGTGAGCAATGTGGATATTAGGAGAAAGGTACTAGACAAGTCAATCGATGATATTGTGACCATTCACCGAGAGAGATGATTTGAACGCGTGTCGCGCATGCTGAACCATTGCTTACCTCGATATGAAGTGCCAGCCAAAGTAGGTTTGGGTTGGAAAAAAAGCCAGTGGTCAGATAAAAACATGATTTGCATCTTCGAGATAACAGGAATAGGTAGTTAGTAACTCTTGGTGATATGGCTGAAAATCAATCACAACAGTACAAAACGTACTCGCTCTTTGACATCTAAAATTCGAACATTTTTACTAACTTTCACATCCAGATTCTTACTCCTCCTCCAACACACACTCGTCTATTTTGACATCACTCTTTTTCTACCCAACTGTTCTCTGTATGCTGCTGTGAAATGTGGCAACTTGAACCGATGTACTTCTGTACAAGGTTCAACATTTTTCACACGTAAATCATCTTGACCAAAACAGAAATAGGGTTGTCTTCTTATTTTATGAGAATAATGATAGTTAATTATGCGAGATAGCAGGCTGAATGTTTTAATAGTTTTCGTTATCTCACAGGAACACAGGGAATAGACTTTATGAAGAACTAATCAACCCATTAATAGACGGTTAATCATCAATTGAAATGCCGAAAATGAAGCAAATCTAAATCATTCATGTTCAGATAATACGAACATATTCAATGACAGCAAAGAACGTTAGCAACTTACAGAACTACCCATTTCACTGAGAGCTTCTTTAGCGCGTTCCAAACGCGTAGGCGATACGCTTAGTGTAAACGATCGAACTATATGGGCACAGAATTCAACAGATATTCCCAAAGCCTATAACGAAAAAAGAAAACTGAACAATCAACTTGAACCTTTTCTATCATAAGCAGCAGAATTCACGTTGTATACTTGCGTGCTTTGAAGCATGTTAAGACTAAATAGATACCACAGATGGTTGCTTTAACAAAATTGCAAACCTGAGAGCTGACAATGAAGAGTCATATATGTAGACAAGCGAGTTACTGCTTTGCTCGAGGAGTACAAAATCAAAGTTCCAAAAAATGTCACTCAGTGAAAAAAGCCCGTTTAAGTAATAGAGGCAGAGATAGGAAAGGGAATATTTACCAAAGACTAAATAATTCTGTGATAATCAATAATGAATACCATCTATAAGAGAAATCAGAAAACTCACAGGTTTCACTCGAATTATGGATACACATGACTGCTCAGATAAAATAACTACCCATTCACATATCAAGGGGTCCAATATACACCAAATCAGGTCACTCTGTTCCAGCATACTACGAAATATTTGACTACCTACTATAACTACAGTGTAGCAAGGTAGCTTGGTTTTACTATACGGATGTGATGGAAGGAATGGAGAGGCGTTCAGCTTCTCGACTACCATCACCTTCGTAATACAGGTCATCTATCCTGGAACCACCATGTCAAGCATAAAGCTTTATAGAGAAAAGGAAAGCCACTGGATGAGGTTGTAAACCATCATGAACTCCGGTGACTGGGGCATGTTACACACACCTGGTTATCGTCTACAACATCATGAGATATTACCTGAGGTGTATTTAGGCTGGAAGAAGGCAAGAATAAAGCATGCCATAAGTTCATGAAGTCTCCGACTACTGGCGTGAACCATATAGGAAAATGTAGACTTCCAAGTTGGTGTCCGCGTGACTCATTGAGTCAATACTAAAATTCTTCCTCTTAGCCTTCTTCTAGTCTAAATATACTTCAGGTAATATTGCGTGATGTTGTAGACGATAACCAGGTGTGTGTAACATGCCCCCGTCACCGGAGTTGATGATGGTTTACAACCTCCCCCAGTGGCTTTCCTCTACTCCGTAAAATTTTCTGCCTGCCTACGGTACAGAAGAGGTGGTGGTCGAACACGTGAAGCCTCCTCATGTCGATGTTTCATAGCTATTTTGTAGGACAGAAAGAAGTGCAGCGCAGTAAGATCGGTCCGTAATAGACAACTGGATATCACGATGGCACCGTAACTGGTATCAGTTTTCAGATATCAAAGAAGTACTTCGTATCCATACCAGCATTTTAATCTATTTCCACCAAAATAGTGTAACAATAATCCATCTCAACCTGGTATATGCTTTTATAATACACTGTGAGCCACATGCAGTGTGAAGGCTTGTATTGCTAGCCGTTCGCCTAAACCAAAGTAGACAGACTGAGATGCCAACCAGAGAGACCTATAGCTTTAAAGTCGATTGCTCAAGCCAGTAACCTGTCACTCCACTAATACAAAGAAAAAGAGGATATAGAACTTCGATACCCATATTTCATCCAAGGTAACGAAAACACCTTATAGCTGTAGCTCATTGATTCAGACTATCGACTTTCAACCAGTAAATGACGGCTTAGGAACCCGCCGATCTACCGACGTTTAGACAACCCGTTAATTTGAGTAGCACTCACACATTAGGTCTGGGTCATAGGTTGGTGAACTAACGAGCACGTACTAAATGAGTTAATTCCAGCTTTTTTCGCAAGTTTATACACAAAGCAGTGAATCATATCTATTAGGTTGGGGGTAATGATAATACTTAGCTGTCCGAAAGTTGGTAGACAAAGTTAGATTCTAGCCTTGGACTCATTGGTTGAAAGCAGTAAACCAAGACCAATAAATCATACCTCCACTTCGCTACTACTAATTATTGTTGTCATTTAAAAGTATTAGTTATTTCACTGTCACTTATTTTTTAAACTAATTGATTATGTAGGTGATAGATGGTGTTTTTGTAAATTTTATGATCTTGTTAGTCACATGTATGAACTAATGAGAGGTAAATTGGGGGAAATATCAATGAATTGTCAAAATAACAGGGTTGTATTCTGCTTCATCGGTTCGTCATCACAATAAACCACTATTTCACTAAATAATGAATTATAGTCACAGGGGGAGGACTCAGAAAACTTTTATTTAGTAATTATGACAAACATCAAAATATATTCGATTTTTACATTTATAAGGATTGGTTGATTGATTTTAAGCTAATACCCGTCACGCGATGACATCAATTGATATGTAATCTTGCTTTTCTGTGTTAGGTGCACTTTGTTTGACAGCTATAGGTGTCTCAGTGGAGAACTTCTGGATCGTTTTGAAATTTTCGGTTTACCATGTATGAACCTTGTTTATAAGGTTTGCAGATTCATTTCCAGGATGTTATTGGCGATGAATTTACCGAAGTTTAAAAGAGAAGTCATGATCTGTGTGGGTCAACCAAGTCGGGTGTCCGGAAAATTACTCACTGATGGCATTTTTTGATAGTCGCATTATATTTCAAATTGACAGTAATGGATATATGTGGAGGATTGGCTACTGACCTAGTAGCTGGATGGGAATATCCTGAAGATACTGGGTTTAATCTCTGGAGGGGTCTGGGAGTGCATTTCTTAGGAGTCCTATACTAGGAAAAGAAAGCTGTCCAATACTTCCAAGTTTTCAATTGTTTTCAAACTGATGTCAGTCTGCGACGAAAATTACCTTGAGATCAAAATGTATATTCCTTCAGCGTTACTTAAATTCTAACTACTCGAATATCTTGTAGGCAGATATTTCAATATCAACTTAACAGTTATCAATAATTCTGTACTAAAAACAAAGCTGAAGTGTGAAATTGAGTCATAACTCACGGCAAATAGGTTTGTAAGGTGCGTAATTTCGTCTTGAGCTTGAAGTCGTATTAAAGAAAAGGATATATGGGACTGCAAAGTTTCATTGAAGGAAGGAACATCTTCAAAGTACTCCCCTTAACTAGACAAATGTACACACATTTAGCGCACCAATACTCATCGCTAGGTGGGAAGCCACACACACACACACACACACACACACACACACACACACACACACACACACACACACACACTAGTTGCCTGGAAACTATAGGGATAACTGTTTTGACTTCCTAAAAAAGAACTTACCACAACTAAATTTACTAAGGATAAAGCATTTAAACTGATTGACCATAGTACCATCACAGCCGATACACTGATAACAATATAAACAACACCAAAGATAACCATTAGTGTAGCGATTATATCGAATCCAAAGAATATCAAAGTGACAACAAAGATGGCGAGTAAACAAATGCCAAGTTGAAAGGCTGCTTCATTTGCTAATGTCAAATATTGTTCATAGAAAACATAGAATACACTTAAATTGATAGACAGAAAAGAAAAGAAAATCAAAAACAAACAATGAAACATAACTTTCAGTTTAGCATCGAAATAGTTATTGAATACAATGAAACACTCTATTCAAACATAGATTTAACTTCATTAACACTCACTTTTATTTGACATGGTGTAAATTTGAATAACTAAGAAAAGATCACTTCTTTTTAGTCAGATCGAAATTCTGATCAACTTTGTCAAATTATTCAAGGAAATAATGATGGATAGTAGCTAGCAGTAGAAACGAAGACGTAAGTTTCACCCTATTTGGGACTCTTCAATCAAATTTACCTACATTCCAGTGAGTGATGGTGTACCCACTGAGACTCAAACCCGTTACTCATTGTTTCAAACGTCAAAATGTTATCCATTAGGCTACTAAGGTATTTCTTGTGCGATAGATATACTTTTGATGATCATAGCTTGTAATTTTCAGTCGTTAATTATGTCATATAGTCCTAAATAGGGCGAAACGCATGTTTTGAATCCCACCATCGGCTATTAACCATAATTTCTATCAAGTAAAACTATCGACAATATCGAAACACCCATGCTGGAGCCTATGTGCCAATTATGACTGGTCAATTCGGTTCAATAGACGATGAGAAATTATAAGCTACAAAGTATTCGAGGGAATATTGTAAAAAGTTCTGAATTCGACAATTAACAATCAAATAAAACTAAAACTAACCGGATGTTGTTATTTTCAACAACTCCATATAAACACAATCACTTATATGCTAAATAATAATACACATATATTGATGTACTAACACTAAGGTGAATCATATTTACAGACTGACTATACAATATCAAAAACTAGAATTGATGAACCCACACATGAACCACATGACTAGTTGATTGATGGCAAATATAACAACCATTATCATAACAATTATTCCTAGTATGTTATTGATCTGCGAAATATTCGAGATTTTGAGGTATGTGGGGATTTACTGATTTCAGGCTGGTATTCATCATGGACTGACATCTGTCAGAGGAACAATGGAAATCTGAGAGCACTAGACACATGTTTCGTCCCACTCTGAGATTCTTCAGCAGTACACATCCATGACCCCAACTAGGGATCTAACTCAAAACTTTCAGGTTCCGTGGTCACCACGTTACCATTGAGCCACTGGGTTGGAATCCAATGGTCCATAATTCCTACTTCTGTCAGTTCAAGATATAGCACCGCCTCTATCAAATGCCGTCGTTGAGTAACTGTCCTCATGTTCAACTTCGTTGGCTTCATTGGTCACGACTTCTCATTGGAACTTAAGGAATCGCCTCTCGAAGCTAGTCACCAACGAGCACTAGATCAATGCAATTTTAAGATTTGTGGGGATTTACTAATTTCAGGTTGGTATTCATCATTGGATAGAGATCGTGCCATATATCATGAACTGACAGAGGTAGGAAATATGGACCATTGGATTTCGACCAGAGGCTCAATGAAAACGTGCCAGCCATGGAACCTGAAGGTCCTGAGTTCAACCACTGATGGCATCGTGGATGCGCACTGCTGAGGAGCCCCATACTAGGACAAAACAGCTGCCTAGTGCTCCCAAGTTTCCAATGCTTCTCCAACTCATATCGATTCATGAAGAATACCAACCTGAAATATTTTAGATATCAATTATAAACTATCATTATACTGAAAGAATTCACTTGAGAAACTTCGATACAAACGACGAACACTGTAATCGATTATCCAGTGGTGATAAGTGTTCGTCTAATAGCGCTAGACAATGCCAGTCAGTCTTTAGACAATATCACTGAATAGATGTCACAGTATGTTGTTTTAATTAGTACTATTTGTCAGTAAGATGAATTCACTATCAGGTGTTTTCAGATATTCATGTAACTGCATATACAAAACCGATTCCACACAACTTCGAAGTAAGTAAAACAGCTAATGAGACTGCTTTCCTGACTTGTCGGAATTCATGCTTTCGATTCCTTATGCTTGGTAGTTTTGTTCCAAAAGATCAAATTTATTTATTCGAAAAACATGCGTAATTTTAATCGGTCTGATTTGACGGATGACCTTAAAGAACATTCTAGAAACAACTGAAATCACCAATTACATTCTTCAGTTTATTCAATCAGCAAACTTGATTGGCTATTTAAGTGGTTTGTAGGGTGACCTTCAGAGTCACTCCACTGATTAAACCATTATTTGAAGTGAATATGTAGAAAATTGGTAACTTGATTGATGTGCAATATCAACCTACCACAGTATAATTACTTACCTAAACAAACAGAATTAACCAATCAGCAGAAGACACTTAACTAGCCAATCAAATGAGAGTTATATGAATTGACACAAATGCTTTTTGGAAAACTGAACCTTCTACCGATTGTCGAATAAAACTTCAGATCAAAACCAAAGTAATATCATTATTGGTTCTATTATTAAGATATTTTCAATCAATAATCTTAGGGCTAAACGTTTTCGGCTAAAGGATGCTATTGAACTTATAAAACAGAACAATTTGGTCTACCAAAATTTTATGTAATGACTAGGTGGAAACTAGCCAACCGGAGTAGCATAACAGTCCCCAAATTCTTCTCCCATATAAATGAAACAATCTTAATGCACAAATATAACCAGTATGTAATCAAAGTTACGAAACATTTTATAAGATAGTAACTTTTAAAAGTAGTTACAACCGACAACATTAATATTCTACTAACCTGTAAGGGAAAACTGTATTGTTTTGTATTGGTCCAGACATATCAACCACTTGACCGGTTGCTGCATACCATGACTGAGTTACTTGATTAGCATAATACCTAGCCGCCTTTAATGCACTGATATAATCATCGGGTTGTTTGAGTACACTATGATAAGCCATAAAGTAATTAGCTCCCACTATTATATCATTATCCTCAGTGCTTTTGTTTGACAGATGAACACCTACATTATATGCAGCCTTTCCACTGGAGGTTTTTTCAAAATCGTACATAGAAGACAAAAACAGGAAACAATAAATGTTGGTAACAAACAACTTATTCATCTAGTTCAGATTAACTGAAGAAAAGAAAGTATGCTGAGCATAATCTCAGCCATACATGTTTGTTGAGCCATAGTATAAATAAGGACAATGGTGTAGTCTAACACTAAATAGAGAACGTACTCGAGCCAATCCTTCTATCCTGGTCGTGATGTTAACAACTTCATCGACAAGATCTGAACAACACAATGACAGCTATTTTGGCTTTACTCCAGTTTTTTGACAGCTTCAAGTTGCAGACCAGACCTTGTCCACTACGAATGTTATTTTCCCATAACCTGGTGGATTGGTAGCTCACTGAATAGGAAATATCCAACCAAAGCTTCCTCGAGAAAAAGAAAACTCCCGTTAGAGCATTTTCTTAACACCCCCTTAAACTCATCAGTGTCATCCTAGACCCCTTCTTCCCAATTGTCAAGCTTCAACCCATTCGCATTCGCTGTGTAATCGGTTTTTTGATCACTCTCACCTCTCCATGGAAAAACATGCGTAGAAAACATCTTGCCGAATCTCCACAACTTTACAGATCCAAGTGTAGCTCGCCTTTCGGAGGGGCCATCCTCCGGGCTACAAATATCACAGGCATTATGAACCGCATATCCCTAACCTTCGCAAGGCAAAACTATGCTTATCTTTAAAAGATTGCTTCAGCTATAGTGACTACTGGGAGTAAGGAGCTGGATTCCCTTACCTTTCAGTTGCACTACTTCTAGTGGATTGGGCGGAATCCTGACAGCTGGTTAGACCATTTGTGCTTTGGAGACCCACGCCACTTATACTGCACATATGGATAAGTCGATTTCGACGGTGTATTGGTCAGTATCCAGCCACGTAGAGGCTTACCGTCGCAACATAACTAGGAATAATGGTTACTGTTCAAAAGCTGGTCGATGAAAGAATTCTCAGTACATACCTCTAATGCATGTTATCTACACATGTATAGTGTTTTTTTTTTACTGACATCTTTATCATCAGACAACGGGATAAATATTTGATCTCAACCAGATTCCGTGAATCTCTTTTCAAGTTTCTACACATTTTTGATTTGATATCAGCGACGAGATGATGATGCAATGCAAAATTTCTATGAATGCACAAAACATCATAGGAACCACATTTTGAAGGAAAAAATTTCAACATACCCTTTAGGGCAATTAGGTCCAGGATTTTCCGACAAGAAATCGCGTAAATAATACTTGAAATCGGTATCACTAGGTCGTCCATTGATTAAATTCACTGGGCATGTAATACAATCGGAATCAGTTATATTTGGTGGACAAAACGTTTTGTTTGTTTTATAAATTCGACAACATAATGGTGCACCATTTGGATCAATCCAATCGAAATAATCATCTAACCATGAACTAGCTGGAGAAGCAATCCATGAACTATAATTTTGTAAAGAAACACTTGTACAAGCTAAATAATCATTTATCAACAACATCTAAACAATGATGATAGTTCGACGTACAACATGAAAGTGAATTTATAGTGTTTCAACCTCTTCTACTGTTATGAACAGCATATATATGCACAAACTAAATAAAAGAAAACAATGATGAATTTTAAACAAAGATTTCAGCGAAGAAAACTTCTCTTTGCAATGATTTTATTTTCGAAAACTGTACAGTCACATTTATATCTTTGTTGAGGTAAACAATAAAAATTCAGTTGTTTCGTAGTAGTATGAGACTACGCAGTAAAACGCACCTACTCACCAGGAACCGAATTCGGGACCTACACGTTTCAACGGAAAACGCGTTGACCATTCAGTTGCTGGGTCGTTAAGTTCAATAGTCCACAGTTTCCTACTCCTATTAATTCACGATATAGCTTGACTACTAGCAACCAAGGTCGTCAGTTGGCACACGCTTCACTTTCGAATGGTTGACCTCACAGGTCATGGTTTCTCACTAGAACTTCAATACATTCATTTCGAAGCATCTCACTAATGAGTACTATAAAATAATTTATCTTGAGGTTTATGGGGATTTTATTTATTCCAAGGTAGGATTCATCACGGGTCGACACCAGTCAGAGAAGCAGTGAACAGCTGCTTTGTCTTAGTATGTGACTCCTCGGCAGTACACATCCAAGACTCCGGCGGGGTAATGATGAATACTACCTTAACAATGAAATCCTTATTCCCTTCAAAATCTGTTTGTCCCATTTCTACCAAGATGTATTACGTAAGGTGGATTTAAATGAATGAGGACGATATTTCAGGAACCATCAAATAGCTTGGGAAAATATAGGAAACTGAAGAAATGTCAAAGACGCAAGATTGGAGATGAATAACTGAATGAGTATGATAAGATTTCATTTAAAAGTAGTTGACTGAGGATCATAAGAAACAACAAATGTGATTATCACGCAGCTAAAGTGTGATATGATAGATATCAAGAGCAGCAAAAATGTCATGAGAAAACAAAACCGACTGAAATAGAATTTTTTTTCCTAAAAATTTTTTTAACAGCTAGTTTTACGAAACATGTCATCAAAGTGTAAGCTAGGGTCCAGGGTGGTGAATGGGACCATACAAACTATTTCTGCACATACAGTTCTGGTTTAAGATTATGCATCATCAAAGTATCTGCAATACAAAGTAGGTGTCCGTGTTTTATAGGGTGCAATAGATCCCAAAAAACATTTGGACATAACTATCGTACCAAGAAAGAAGATCTGCATCCATTTACAACTTGGAGGTGATATTGCAGACCGTTTAACAAGGTCAATAAGAAAAACATTCTATGCTGCGTCTCTACTAAAGCCGCTAAATGGTTTATCTTAATGCTATAGAAAGGTTATCTGTTCAATTCGACGTGCATCTATGTGTTAACCTGCTCTTTTGGAGCTAGGCACGTAAGACATTCATTGAGAAATATTTCCTGTCCAATTCGACAGGCGAAAACTAACAAGTTGGCAGAAGAGGCAGGGTAGCGAAGGAAGACGGGACTTCAAGTGAATATAGAGAAGACAGAGGTGATGAAGATACCCAACCAACAACAAACTCCAATCACCATCAAAGGGAGAAACTTAAAGGAAGTACCCTCCTTCACCTATCTGGAAAGCACTGTTTCAACTACGGGCGGCACACACGAGGAAGTCGAAGTCAGCCATGATAGCAAACACAGCAAGACAGGTCTTCATTAGCCTGAAACCAGTATGAAGATTTTCTGAACTCAGCATACGGAACAACATCCGGATTTTCAACACCAATTCACTCAAGTCAGTGCTTCTGTATGGTTCAGAGACTTGGCGAGTTACGAAAGGCATTTCCAACAAACTACAGACATAAGTCAACAACTACCCCCTACGCTTGCCCCATACTGAAGATCAGATGGCCAGAATAATAAGAACAAGCAACAAGGAACTCTGGCTGGTTGCCAACGTACCAACCAAGAACCTATCACCCAACAAATATGCAGTGGAAGGAAGTGGAGATGGATTGGACTGGGTATACACTGAGAAGGCCGACTGGGGACATCACGCATCAGGCCAGTCACTCAAGTAGAATCCGCATGGGAAACGACGAGTTGGGCGTCTGAGGCGAGGGTGACATGGAGGAGATCGTGTGAGGAGGAAATGAGAGCTTCTGGACTGTCGTGGAGCCAGGTTCAAAAGATTTCAGTGAACAGAGTTCACTGGAGACGTGCTACTGAAGCCCTATGTTCCATTAGGAACCCAAGGGACAAATAATAAATAATAATAATTCAACAGCAAAGAGGAGTTGCGAAGCAAAAATTCATCAATTCTCCAACACCCAATTGACTACAACTATCCAGGCTCTGAACCACTATTTGACATTATTTACTAGGTCAAACTAACCATATCGAAAGGTGGACACAAACTAACATCGTTCAAATAATCACTAAATGTCAACTAGTGCAGAATAGCGCTTTTGCATCACGTTTTCTTGATACTATACATTGAGCTAAACTATATGAAAGATTCAAATACTTCAATGTTTTGAGTTCACTTCTGACATACCAGCATATTTTAGTTGGTTAGAGGCAATCGGCAGAAAGCCCAAATAACATTTACTAATGTGTACCGCGATGCTGAGCTTCCTAGATTGGTTGCCACATTGCAAATATAATCGATAGGATTCGGTCTGCACTCAGGACTAGATAACATGAAATTGGCTGCACTCCCATGATCAATCAATACATACAGCAAATGTATATGAGGATCTCCAATGTCTTGATAGAACGTTTCATTGCATATCGAGATATTATTCTCACTTTTTCAAACTCATTACATTTTCGAACATATTCATCATATATGTTGTTACGTAACATTCCTTTTCTGATCCCACGAAGTAAATTATTACTATGTTTTTTTGAATACTACATTAATTATGCCAACGTACCCAAAGGAGATATAACAGAGTTTTATTTGTTTGTAATGAATATGAACATGACTTTAAAATCTTATAAGCGAAAGATTTAGTTATATAAGAAAATTTGTTTCACTGAATTATTTATGATTCATAAATTAGTAAACACAAACTAGATACAAAAGAACAAGATGCAACTTGGGCACCCAGAGTAAAGCAGGTAGTCATAGAAGACTATTCGCAGGACCCTTCATTCAAAGGCTAATCCATCTAGTAGTATTAAGCGAAGTTCTCTGCAGTTGAAGATAGCCAAATAAGACTCGTAGAACATTTCTTTCTTCTGAATCTTGAAGTTTGAGTGCACCACAAGGTTGGAAACCAGACATTCGGACATTCGGAGATAAACCTTTCCCTGCTCAGATTGTAAAAACATGTCTGGATAAGAGGATCTTAAGATGATGAGAAATCTCTGATCATCTCCCAACATTGGTAGCATTACAAGAATAAGACAAAACGTACCAACCATTACTTCGAAATTTTCAATATTCTATCATTTGATGCCAACTTTCATTGAAAAATATACTTCAGTTCCTCAAAAACCAATGGCGACAACTTCGAATATATTTGCTATATAATCTGAGGAGACTCAGTGAATTCATTCAAACACTTGCGCGCTATACGCCAAGATCACTGAAAATAAATAATGCATGATAACCGAGTCCAATAACTACAGATTATGGTGTACCTGACAAGAGTTCGACTATAAAAGATGAATGCTTTTTGTTAACGGAGACTAACTCCACTATATAAATGAAGTGACTCATTATTGTTGAGTAAACCCCATTATAATACCAGAGATGACTTAAATATTCATTTATCCACTTACGAATTGGCGTATGTCGATGCAGAACTGATGCGCTGTAACAATGATGTATTGAAGCATCCTGTCCCACCACAGATTTGATTTTGCCCATCAGTTGTAGTGAAGTTATGACCTTGGGTAACAACAAAGTAAACTGGTGGTCCAACGCGTAAATCATTGCTCAGTGCATTGAAGTAATCCAACATATATGAATCTGTTGGCATAGACAACTTTTGATCTAAGCCAATATGCAATCCACTAGGTAAGATTGATGCAGCGAAACACAACCATGCCAGGCTAAGAACAATAACAAATGGTCGAACCCAACCAGATAGGATAGCAGGACAAAGGTAGTTGGCTACAGCATAATGCAACCAGGAGTGTGATGCTGAATGTACAAAAAGGTAGAAAGAACAAATTAAACCATTTTAAAACTGAAAAACTAAACACGCTTGCACAAAACACCATGAGTGCCACTGACTTTCTGAACGAGGTAGGCATTATTTAGTTGCGAATCGGTGGTTCAGAACCGTGGACACAACCTCACAAAACTGATGAGTGATGAATTCCAACGGGTGGCTTTGGAAAAATGACTGAGAGAAACAATACATTAAACACATGTTTCCTATTAGTCTTGCTTTCGTCAACTGATCATATATCTGTTGCTAAAAGTTATCTGGTTGGCTTAGAGTATGGGGACGATATTGGCCTACTAGGTGAAAACGCTGACAAAATGCAAGGTCTTCTGAACATATTCAACAGAAATCTAAGAACGCTTAACTGTCATGCGTCTCACACCTGTTAAATATAAGATGATCCTCCAGGTATAACTGGTCTGCTACCAGCACTCCCAGTTTAATGATAAGGAGTGAAGTGGTGGAATGTGTCAACCACTTCACTTACTCTGGGAGTTGCATCAGCCCAAACAGGCTGCTTTCTGACGAAATCTCAACTGGGATACAGAATACCTGTTTGGCTTTCGCCAATTCGCGTCATCTGTGATGCTGACTGGGGAGATATCCGACTATCTACCAAAGGACGAGCATATTGTGCTGCTATTTGTTCTGTCTTGTTGAGACAAGGACGTTAAAGCTAGAAGATATGAAGCGATTACAGGATTTTGATCACAGATATCTTCGCAGCATTGCTCGTATTTGGTGGAAACACTGCATGAGCAATATTGAAGTCAGGTGAAGGGTGCTTAGGCAAGATGGACCGGCAAGTCGATTGATCAGGATGTGAACCTTAGTCAACTGAGATGACTTCTGACATGCAATGTGCATGCCGAGCCAACACCTATTTTGATATACCATGCTAGGCGATATTAGATTGGGTTAGAAGAGGCTTCAGGATGGCCAGATAAAGACCTGGCATCAATCCATGAAGTCGTTGACTGTTAGTCTCAGCCATATGTGGAGATTTAAACTGCTTGTTTGTGGTCCCCCCACTTTTTCTTTGTGTAATGCCATGAAGTGTGACAACTTGAGGCGACACACTTGTGTACGAGGTTCTAGGTTGATTCTCACTCAGTCATTCAGTTAACTGTGTATGAATATCAATCAACCCGAAGATTAGGGCTATTTTAAACAAATTAGTCAACAATTATCTGTTGATACTTATGATTTCCCATTATTATACTGGATTGACGCGCTCCTATGCAAATGCCTCGATACCGCCTGAATATTCATTACGTTATGAATAAGTTGGCAAGTTGTGGTGAAATCCAAGACACACATTTTATCTTATTCGGGACTCGTCAGCGAGATGTTCCTCAACCCCCAGTGATTGATGGTGTTCGCATTGAGACTCAAAGCCAGTAGCCATCGTTCCAAATGCCATGGTGTTATTCTTTAGGCCACTTAGGTATGATAGTCCCCTATAGTATAACAAATATCAGTTGTCATTTGTAGATACTTGTAATTTCAATTAGCACTGGATAGCTGATATCATCATACAACTGACTAATAGACTGATTTCAGATCAAAGATACTGACTGTTTTCCTAATCAGCAATGAAAATCTCATCATTCAACAAACCACGAGGAAATAAGACCAGTATAATCATCGTTCTAAACGAAGAGAATATTCCATCTCGCATACAATGTGAGACAACATGATTAAACTCAACACTATACAGTAGTTCTGATATATTCAACTTACATGATTTATTTTTGATTGTTTGCTTGCTGGATGAACCAGCAGGTTGTTGTTCAGCTAGATCAATTTCATGTACCTCATCATCCATTGCTGTAGAAGTGAGTGATAGTGAATCATTGTCTAATGGGAGATTTTTACTATCGTTTTTGTTAGTGTTGCTTGAGAAAGGATTTCTTTTGTATGAATCAACAGCATCGACTTGATTATTAGCATTACTATCAAGTTCATCAACTTTGTTTACAGTATGCAAATCATTTTCATCAAGTTTAAAACAGAAAAGGACATCGAAACGGCGAGCCTACAAAGGAGAATACGAAAGTGAAAATTGAGAAGTAAATGGAGCAGTAACAGTCTCATTTTACAAGTTGGTATTCATCTTGAACTGATATCACTTGGGGGAACATTGGAAACCTGAGAGCACTGGACAGTTGTTTAGTCCTAGTATGGGACTCCTCAGAAGTGTGCACCCAAGACCCCACCTCACCAGGGATCCAACTCAGGACCTTCAAATTCTACGACCAACGCGTTACCACTGAGCCACTGAGTCGGAATCCAATGGTGCATATTTCCAACTTTTGTCAGTTCATGACATAGCGTGACCATCACCCAATGTCATCATTGAGTATTGTTCTTCACGTCCACCAGGTTTCCCCCACCGGTCACGACTTCTCATCGGAACTTCGAGAATCACCTCTCGAAGCAAGTCACGAATGAGCATTAGATCAATTGAATTCTGGGGTTTGTGGGAACTTAGTGATTCTTCTGTGAGGAGATCATGGGTGCACATTGTTGAGGAACCCCATACTAGGACGAAAAAGCTACCCAGTCCTCCTAGCTTTCCAGTGTTTCTCCAACTGATGTCAGTTCATAGTGAATACCAGCTTGAAAAATCAATAAGCCCCCAGAAACCCTCAAATCCGATCCCATTTTAGCTAAGAAGCCGCATGCAAAATGTTTCAGATTACTAAGTTACCTTCTACTACTGTTTAAACGGGGTGTAATAATAGCGTGTTAATAACGGGAAGAAAATGTTTTTCGCACACTTTGGGATATAATTAGCCAATCAGATGAGCACATTTCAATAGATATACTTGTTTCATGAGTCTTCAAACAAAAAGACTACTGCTTTAAATGTAAAAGCATCATTCGCTACAGTCCTAACAATACTTATTATACACAAGACGAACATAGAAATGTAATAATCTAATTAATGACAAGGGCTCAAAAGCACTCCTGACCCTTAAACGTCTTTGCCGCAGGGTTCATTGTCACTGTGATATATTCTGAATTATGCCAAAAAGAGTCCCCAATAACTGAATACTAATATTCGCATGATCTGGCCAACAAAGTCTGCACTTTATCACATAACTGAGACAGATATCCAGTTGCTTTGACGACGGTGACCGATCATCAAAACATACTACTGAACAAAATGAGTAGTTAAAAATCACTCAGGTTGATGAGCAGATCTCCCTAGCCAAATCGCAGTAGTCTAACTTGTGTTGGTCAGCAGTATATTTCCTCAGTTCATGACACTGATATGCTGAAGATCACACGGTGACTGGGCAGTTTCCAACAAAGATCTTGTTGACACCATATTTGAACCGTTGAGAAACTATTCAGTTAAGAAAGATATCAACGTGGACCTTGTAAGTTGTTGATTTTTAGAAATTATCACATTTGAGACTGACTAACGTAGTATGTCCGTCAACGTATTCTTATTCCAGCTAAGGTCATGCATCCGTTTAAACAGTAACATTCGTCTCTCCATCTCAATCCATGCTGGTTAATAATTTTGTAGAGTTGACTTGATTTATCACACTTCAATGAAAACTTTACCTCTATTCCATACTATTTTTGGGATGTATATTTTTCTTACCATAAAGATAAGCAGTCGAACTGGATAGATGTAAAAACAAGACAAGAAAATATTGATAAAGAACTACATAAGAGAATAGGAACTCTAAGGAAGTGGATTATGTGCAAAGTTACATCCCAATTTGGATATACACAATACCGTAATCGATGTTTAAAAAAACTACAGACATAAAGTAAAAGATTGAGAAATAAATTACAAAATTAGATATACTCTTTCTCTCTCTCTCCTTCTTAAAATATCAAAGCTAGCAACACATGTTAGATAATCAAGATCAAACGTATAGGGTGTTCATAAAATGTTATATCTAGAGTTCTTTACAGATTACTTCTTACATCATTTAAAGAAGTTTGAAATTTAAGCTTGTTAGTTTCAACTCGGACAATAAAACCAGGTTGAAGGCATCAGTATGCCGCAGGGTAGTGAAAGTGTGCCAGTTTTGGCGCTGATCTGTTCTAACCCTTTCCCCCCCCCCCCTTCTCATATGAAGGATAGCATTAACGTGGCACTAATGATCATCCAAAGGAAACACCTCATTGTTGACACACGCCTATCTAACCAGAAGCACGACTTCGCTCTCAGACCCCATTATAGTGGAAACATTTACACAATAACAGCAACTGCCTTTTGTCTGGTCATTATCCATCAGACTTTCCTAGTATTGTGGAACCTCAAGGGAACAAGCGCTCCACCAGCATAGCTCATTGGGTCATAGTGATATACAACCCCGATCATCACATCAAGGTAGCAGCTAACGGTCGAGGCGACCAGATTAACACATGATATCAGTGCATGACTCGGTCTGAACCATGTAGAAAGGCGTAGACTAACTGGCTGAAGTCCCTAAGACAACAGAAATTAGTGGTTGAAGATTCTTAATGACATGACTGACAATAAGTCACAATGGTGCAAATGAAAATAATCTTCCATATCTTCTAAAGCCTGACTATTTGCACTACACTTGGTCTTCAAATTTTTTATTCTTTCATACACCTTTGTCTATTTTGATATAAAATCTTTTTGGATCCAATTGTAATTTTTATGTTACTATTAAGTATGCAGACTTGAACCAGTACACTGTTGTATGAGGTTCTGCGTTGGTTTTGTCTATGTCTGTCTGTTTAAAGAAGCATTAACACATGTAGCTGCTTACATCAATGGCAACATTACATAGTTTCACTAGTAGAATTCAATCGACATTGAAATCTAGAAATTGAGAAATATACTGATCTCAAGAAATTGAATAGACTAACACAAATCAGAAGCCAATGAACATGAAATGTTAAGCACAAATAAATTTTAGCATCTTTGATATAGTTCTAGAGATCTAATCAAAGCTTCATTTGATGAAGCGTCAGTTATACTCGTTCAACAACTTTAATTGCTGAAGGTACAGAGAGGTACATATTCACCTACTATTTCCTGTGTAGTACCCGGCTACCTTGACGTGTTGGTCAGGCTTGCATATCACAACGAACCAATGAGCTACACTGGTAGAGCTCTCGTTCCCTCAAGATCTTACCATGCCAGAAAGGACTGTTAGATAGTGGTGAAAAGAAAAGCAGTCATCGTTGTAGTGTAAATTATTACACTATGATGGGAGTCCAAGGGTGAAGTCATACTGCTGCTAGTTGGATAGTGTGTGACAGCAGTAAGGTGTTTCCCAGGGATAACCAGCAGTGCTATGCTGAGGCTGTTTTCCCTGTGCGACCACTGTGAACGACCAAAGACATCAAAACCTCAGTCCTAGTCTACTAACACCCCACGATCGGTTTCACATCCAAGCATTCAATGTACAACCACTTCACCTACTTGGAGAGGTCCGTCGGCGCGAACTGGCTGGTTTCTGACGAAATCTCAACTCGGATACAGAAGACTTGTTTGGCGTTAGCCAATTTGTCCCATCTTGCGCGCCGACTGGGGAGATATCCGCTATCTACCAAAGGACAAGCGTACTACACAGCAGTTCGTGCTGTCCTGTTACACGACTGTGACAGCCATTAAACGTAGAAGATATGAAGCGATTACAAAGTTTTGGTCACAGATATCTTCGTAGCATTGCTTGCGTTTAGTGGGACCAGTGTGTAAGCAATGATGAAGTCAAGCGAGGGGTATTAGGCAAGACAGGTAATTTAATTGATGTTGTGAACCTTAGTCGACTGAGATGGCTTGGACATATACTGCACATGCCAAGCCACCGCCTACCTGGACGTGCCATCAAAGGGAAAGTTGGATTAGGTTTGAAAAGGGTTCAGAGTGGCTAAACGAAGACGTGGCACCAATCAATGAAGTCTCTTACTGCTAGTCGTGTGGGGAGATTAAGACTGCCTGGTTGGGGTCCCCGAAACGAAAGGAATCACTGCTTGAGGACTATTGGTGACATGGCTGAAAATTAATCCCAATGTCGTAGATGTATTCACTCACTGATATCTAAGGTTTAAATATTCGCACTAACTGTTATTTTGAAATTGTTTGATCTCAGTGTTTTTTATCCACCTGTTATTTCTATACTGATAGGATAATTTGAATGGATGCACTTTGTGCGAGGTTCTACATCAATTTTGTTTGTCTGTCTGTTTTGTTTAGTAGTCAAATATTCACAGTTCTGAAAGCATCTACATAACCACTCAAAGAAAAATGATTCTTTGTAGAAAACAACTATTAGAACCAGACCATTCACATCGACTAAACAAGCAACGAATTATGGCAGAAAGTCTACAATTCTGCAAATATTTCAGATAATAAGTTGATGGCTTTTTAAGTTGTGACTAACCGCCACAAATTTTCTTTTACGCTGCAATCATTGCATTTCAACTCAATACAAGTTCATTGAGAAGGCTAAGTTACACTGAGTGCGCGAAGATTTCGATACTGCCTAGTGAACAAGGCTGAGATAGGGTTTGAACTAATCACCCAGTACTTGGAAATCAAGTGGATAAGTCAATGAAACACATCCTCACCCTCCTCCCCTGAAACTATGTGAAGTTAATATTAAACACACTGTTGTAGACAAAGCTGATGTGAACTGTAGTATAGTTCACTCAACCTTCAATACACAATCAGATATCGTGACAGTACAATAAGTGACGTAAGGCGCCTCTTCAGTATCTGTGCGGAAATTTTGTAGGCTACTGCCCGAATCAGAGCTGATGGAACTTCTCAGGTAAGTGAAGTAGCCAACGTGCTCAATCCTATCATTCCCAATTGTTAGACAGAATACCATTGAAAGAGCAGTTCTGGAACAACAATAAGTATACAGAAAATGGTGATAAACCAATATACCAGAATCAAAGTAATCATGTGAACGAAATAAAACTATCAATATCATGAATTACTCTAAACTCTATAAAGTCGTTCTATAAGGTATTGATTATTTCAGACATGGAAAGTTAGCATAAACATGATGCATAGAATATAAAGAGCAGTTTCAAAATAATGACAGATTTAACAATGATAATAAACAGATTACTAAGAAAGTAAAACATATCAACAACAACAATAAACGAAAAACACCGACATACATGTATATGTTAACAAAAATGAGAAAAAAATAACAACACAACTTACTGCATATCTACGTCCATCCAGTGTTAATAAAGCAACAAATGCAAATATTTGTAGAAGGAAGTTGAATACAATAGCCATAGCAGCATATAATGCAAATACACGTACAGCAGGCATTGTTGTCAGTGCTCCTAAAATACAAATGGTTAGAAGGAAGTAAATAAAAAAAAAAAACAGAAGGAAAATAATTCATTTTCATTTAGTATATGTTTATTTTTAAACTATTACAATAATTTTCCATTTTACTCTGTTTATTAAAAAGGGAAGGAACAGTATCATTCATTGGTTAACGTTTCGGACATATTTTATTGCTCATAATCATATCACAATAACTTTACAACTTCAGGTATTTGATATTGATTCGATAAACAAGGATTCGGTTATCATTCTCTTCTTCCCTCCACCTAACTAAGTCAGTTTTTAACACTGTCACACTATCTCACCCTACTATGTGGTGGTTATGTGTAATTGTGTGCAGAGTAATCGCTGAGCTTTTATCATAATTTCTTATCTTATTACGATTTAATAATCTTGATTTAGCTACGATTTTGCTTTCGCTTATACTAATTCACCCTGGTCGACTATATTGGACCTATGTATTTAACCTTGTAATCATTACAAGGGATTTGATAAACCAAATTATTTTGCCCAATTAGATCGATAAGATCCCCTAACCTACAAAGCTTGTTTCTAAGTGTCAACCATTTTATTTCCTAGTCAGACTTATTGAGAATTCTTCGTAATGCTTGTATGGTAACATAACAGTGACTTTGAATTCTCTTCCAATCCCGTCACCACTATTATTGCTATTATTATTAGTCCCTGTGTTTCCACTACTTCTACTGCGAATATTTTTCTTTCGATTTTTTATCAACTTATTTATAAATTTAGGTGGGTAATTCTTGATGTGTCTAATTTCTTATTGTAGATTTTCTGTCCTACTAGTAAACTGTTCTGGGCTATTCCTGAGGCATTTAACTCGACCTACTTTAACTGAGATAGGATGGGATGTTTTGAAGTGTAAATAGCGATTCGAACGGGAAGGTTTCCTATAGACACTGGTCTCTAAACTTTCATCTTGTTTTCGTTTAATCTAACAATCCAACATTGTTAGCTCACCTTCATCACTATCTAAGTCACAAGTGGGTTGGATTGGATTCACTACTGAATTTATGTATGTAGAGAAGCTATTGATGTGTTATGATTTCAGTACTGTGAATACGTCATCTGTATATCGGAACCATATCTTTGAAGTGGACTGAATGTTTGTACATTTTATTTTGAGACTTAAAATCTGTGGATGTCAGACAAAATTGTACTCGTAGTATGAATTTCCTGGATCTTTACATTAGTTCGATGCGTAAGCTGACTGTCATCCTTAAGCCCATTTCTAAGTGCATCTAGAGCCATGTCAATTGGTATATTTGTGTTCAGATCAGTTATGTCAAAACTAACGATTTTTCTCACTGTTATCAACTTGCATATCATCTATTCAATGCTTTAAGTTATAAGAGTTAGTGATTCGAAATTTTGAGTGGTTCCTTACTGGACCCAGCGCCATTGCTAAATATTTTCGAGAACTCGTAAGAAGTGAAGAAGGGTGCGCGGAAAGACAAAAGACACTTCTACGATACACTTGCAACTGATGCGCAACAGGCTGCTGGTAGGAGAGAACTGACAACACTTTATCAAATAACCAGGTTGTTATCCGGGAAGAGATAAACACAGACGAAACCAATGAAACATGGTGAAGGAAACCTAGTTACCAAAAAGGCGAAACGAAGGAAACGATGAGCTGACCACTTCAGAAAACTCGTGAATCGACCACCACCTGCACTTCGTCCATAACTACCACCTGCAGCCCAGCCACAGAATTGCCAGGATCGGAAAGATTGTCAAACAGGCCTTACTGCATGCGTTCACATCCTCATCTCTGCCACCACCTGTAGTTGAAGCGATGCTGCCATGCCGAAGTAGGTAGGTAGGTAGGTAGGCAGGTGAAAGAGACCACTTCCTTTAGGTTTCTCCCGTTCATCGTGATTGTTGCTTGTTGTTGTTGGTTGGGTATCTTCATCACCTCCGTCTTCTCTACGTTCACCTGAAGTCCCGTCTTGCCTGCTCAGCCTCTTCTGTCAACTCCTTGGTTTTCGCTTGTACATCCTCGAGTTTGTACTACATTAGACATTAGACATACATCATCATCGGTGAAATCCAAATCTTCTAGGGTCTTTTTATCAGTCTAGCATATTCCTGTCTTCTTGCTCCTCACAGTTTGTTGCATGATCCAGTCCAGTCGACCACAATCAGGAAGATCATAGGTGATAGATAGTAGACAGCCTTATCTTACTCCTGTCTTCACTTCACCTCAAAGTAATCACTGAGTTTTCTATTGTGAATCACTTGGCATATAGCTTCGCCATATAGCATATAGCTGTTGAATGAGGTTGATAAAGGTTTATGTCTTTAAAACCGTAGTGTTGAAGCAGTTGCCAAATTACTTCTCGGTCGACGCTATTGAAGACCTTTTCACAGTCCATGAAGTTCAGGGAAAGATACAGTTGACTGCCATTCTATACTCTGTTCTATAATGATGCATAGCGTAGCGTTGCAATTTGATTCCCACATGATTTGTTCTTCCTGAAGGCAGCCAGCCAGCCTGTTCCGGTCGTAATTTTGAATCCAGAGCATCTTTTACACTCTCCAGGATGACACGGCTTGATATTTTGTTTGGGGTGGAAAGCAGCATGATTCCCTACCAGTTCTCGTTCTTGGAAAGACTTAGAGCACCCGCCATTCTTAAAGAGTTTGACAAGATAGCCCTTCTTCAGATTGGCAGATACCTTTCCTTCCTTTCTTCCAAACCTTCTGCAGTAGTGGTGTGAGCATGTCCGCTGTTGTCTCTGCGTCTATTTTCAGTGCTTCTGGTGGAATTCCATCTGGTCCTTCTGCTTTTCCGGATTTCAGCAAGTTGATGGCGTCCAGAACTTCACTTCTGCTTTTATCGGAGGACTTGTGTTCACTGGTAATTCTGTGGCTGGGCTGCAGGTGGTAGTTATGGACGAAGTGCAGGTGGTGGTCGATTCACGAGTTTTCTGAAGTGGTCAGCTCATCGTTTCCTTCGTTTCGCCTTTTTGGTAACTAGGTTTCCTTCACCATGTTTCATTGGTTTCGTCTGTGTTTATCTCTTCCCGGATAACAACCTGGTTATTTGATAAAGTGTTGTCAGTTCTCTCCTACCAGCAGCCTGTTGCGCATCAGTTGCAAGTGTATCGTAGAAGTGTCTTTTGTCTTTCCGCGCACCCTTCTTCACTTCTTACGAGTTCTCGAAAATATTTAGCAATGGCGCTGGGTCCAGTAAGGAACCACTCAAAATTTCGAATCACTAACTCTTATAACTTAAAGCATTGAATAGATGATATGCAGGTTGATAACAGTGAGAAAAATCGTTAGTTTTGACATAACTGATCTGAACACAAATATACCAATTGACATGGCTCTAGATGCACTTAGAAATGGGCTTAAGGATGACAGTCAGCTTACGCATCGAACTAATGTAAAGATCCAGGAAATTCATACTACGAGTACAATTTTGTCTGACATCCACAGATTTTAAGTCTCAAAATAAAATGTACAAACATTCAGTCCACTTCAAAGATATGGTTCCGATATACAGATGACGTATTCACAGTACTGAAATCATAACACATCAATAGCTTCTCTACATACATAAATTCAGTAGTGAATCCAATCCAACCCACTTGTGACTTAGATAGTGATGAAGGTGAGCTAACAATGTTGGATTGTTAGATTAAACGAAAACAAGATGAAAGTTTAGAGACCAGTGTCTATAGGAAACCTTCCCGTTCGAATCGCTATTTACACTTCAAAACATCCCATCCTATCTCAGTTAAAGTAGGTCGAGTTAAATGCCTCAGGAATAGCCCAGAACAGTTTACTAGTAGGACAGAAAATCTACAATAAGAAATTAGACACATCAAGAATTACCCACCTAAATTTATAAATAAGTTGATAAAAAATCGAAAGAAAAATATTCGCAGTAGAAGTAGTGGAAACACAGGGACTAATAATAATAGCAATAATAGTGGTGACGGGATTGGAAGAGAATTCAAAGTCACTGTTATGTTACCATACAAGCATTACGAAGAATTCTCAATAAGTCTGACTAGGAAATAAAATGGTTGACACTTAGAAACAAGCTTTGTAGGTTAGGGGATCTTATCGATCTAATTGGGCAAAATAATTTGGTTTATCAAATCCCTTGTAATGATTACAAGGTTAAATACATAGGTCCAATATAGTCGACCAGGGTGAATTAGTATAAGCGAAAGCAAAATCGTAGCTAAATCAAGATTATTAAATCGTAATAAGATAAGAAATTATGATAAAAGCTCAGCGATTACTCTGCACACAATTACACATAACCACCACATAGTAGGGTGAGATAGTGTGACAGTGTTAAAAACTGACTTAGTTAGGTGGAGGGAAGAAGAGAATGATAACCGAATCCTTGTTTATCGAATCAATATCAAATACCTGAAGTTGTGTCGATTAGACTAATACAGCGCAAAAGCTGAGCTAGGTCAAGATTGTTAGTCTTAATAAGATAGAAATTTGGAAGAAGGCTTGGCACGCATTGGCACACAACCACACAGTAGGGTGAGATAGAGCGACAATATGAAACATTAACTTAGTTTATCGAATCAACACCAAATATCTGAAGTAATAAAAATGATTCTGCACCTGTCTCAGATATATGGAAAATTCTACTACACATATCACAAACGAGGCACGATGTCTCAAAGTTGTAAAGTTATTGTGATACAATTATGGGCAATAAAATGTGTCCGAAATATTAACCAATAGATGATACTGTTCCTTCCCTGTGTAACATTTCTAATAAACAGAGTAAAATGGAGTTACTGAAAAAATACTCTGCGTAATTGATCCCCACTATCCAGTGTTATAAAATGTCTGTGTTGTTGGCATACATTTGATTCTCAGTTTTCTAGGTAAACAATATAGAAATTTAAGTCAACAACCTATTTTTTTGAATTATGATTAAAATTTACACAGTAACACTTGTGTACACCAAATGAAAAAGAGACACCAG